TGACGGATGTCGTGCCATCACCCACTTCTTCGTCCTGAGTACGAGCGATTTCGATCATCGACTTGGCGGCAGGATGTTCGACAATTATCTAAGGCGATATTATTAATGTTTATATAAGGTACCTCCCGAAGAATTGCGTTTCCATCATTTGTCATAACAATTCCTCCTGTGGGATCCATTAGCATTTTAAGCATTGCCCTTGGGCCCAAACATGTGCGGACAACATCAGCGACAGTCTTCCCTGCTTGAATATTCCCATGTTGAACATTTTTTCCCTGTTCACGTCGCGCATTTTGGTCTAACAATGAAAAACAACGCACTCACTCAGTATAATGATTGGGGCACCGGTGTGCATGGCGAGGACGATATCGCTATGGGCGCCAAAAATAGGAGAGCGGACGACCGGTTCGAGAATATTTCGGATAGTCAAGTAAATAAAGTTTTAAGCAATATCAATTTTTAGTTATATAAACTTTATAATGCAATAATAATATTGAATAATTTATTATTGTGCTTATTTGTTTAAGATGTGCGGATGCTTTGGATATTCAATAAGTAGTTCAAAACACTGATTTAGTGAGATTGATTACTTAAGAAATCCTGAATTTTATACAATAAAAGTAGTGGAGGAATGGATTGTCTCGCCTACCTGCTTTTCCTGATTGGAGATAGTTAATCTCCTCAGGGATTTGCTGTTGGAAATTTTTGCGTTACCTGTTTATGAAGCTCTCAATAGCAATGGATTTAAGATGTCCATAAAATTAAGTTTATATCAACAAAATTTAGCATGAACTAAGTCTTTAAATAAAAAATATTTTAGCCTGTATGCATGAAGAGAGGCTTTCTTAAAATACCTATGTTAGTAAAAAGAAAAAGAGGGTCTCATACACTTTTATCAACTTTGTATTTTTGGGACTTTGAGTCATCAAATAAGGTTCTACTACTTTTCAACGAAAGACAGAAAGCCTTCATCATGGTCTATGAGGCATATTAGTCAAACTTTCATATTATAGTTTAATCGAAGATATGAAGACCAATACGATGTGGCTCCCGGTATGTCTCCTTTCGATTTATAGAAGAGGTTGACCTCGTTGTCGCAATTTGGTCTTGTTGTTGTCAGGGGGACTTAGTAGAACGCGCCTAGTCTGAAGTCCTTTGCCATAGTAGTTATCCTAATTCCCAGTATTAGACAGTGGTATTGGTACATTCTCAAACGTTCCGCTAGCATCATAGTTGGAATCATCAATGGGTGTTGTCATTCTCCGTATCAAGATACGAACTCGTGAAAGAGACGAGTGAACCCAATCCTTCCGCTAACCTTGTGCCAAAAATGGTAACATTATCACTCCTCATTCTATCCTGGACTATCTATCTACTCTTAACCCTCTTATTAAAACCCCGCCCTATCACAATTCTCACTTGTCTACATTCCACTCGTA